AAGGCTGCGCGCTCTCACCGCACTAACACAAAAATAGTCACTTTACAGTACGAGGTACGACCGCATTCCATACCACTCAACGCTTGGTAGCACTGGATGAAAGGACTATCACGTTTAATGACTATACATTCAACTAGATGATGTCACAGTCATGCATCCTTTTGGACACATTCACATAGAAAGCTAGCTTTTGCCAGCTTATAAGTACAAAAGGACGAAATTGCAATCCAGTCCGGTAATCTGATTCATCACAAGCAGCGACCGGTTGAAAGCGCAAATATTCAATTCGATAACTTCTAGTCACTGCATCAGAAAACCACGAGACCCTGAAACCACCATATGATTCGCTAACTAATCTCCTATGGTTTCTGATATTCTCCAACCTACACTGTAAAATCTCACGTTAGCTGAACTGGACCAAAATCAGTTACGTACTTTCCAAGATGCCCATTTTTCACTTAAGCCACATCTCATGAGAAAATTTATTCGTAATGATAAACATTTCTCAGTCTCAGGCCTCTATTTGTTGGCCGATAATATAAGACGCCGAGTTTAATGACTTAGTGTTCTGCTTGATAATTATATTCGGAAGTACGTCGATTTTAAGTATTTCAAAACCATCGCTCAGTTAGAATGTCCAACTTGACTGTGATGACGGAATTTACGTCATCCTGAAACGAAATTAAAGGCTTGCAGGTAAAAAGTTGAAATGTTCACCTGCCCAAATGTAAGCCGCTTTATTTTTTCAGAAAGAACAGGAACCACAAAAATATCACGAGTAAACCGCACTAGGAGGGCAGGAAGAAAAATCAAACAGAGGGGACCGGTCTCCTTGGCGTGTGGCGGTAAGTCTGGGAGAAAGACCAAAACGCTTACACATATGCACTGCGACCACTTACAGGAGGCAAACATGAAACGAAAAATAAAAATCAGGGCCAAATAAAGCATAAAAATAGGATAACGGCTCTTTGAAAAGGACAATGCGGCTTTTAGGAAAGCGCTGGCGGCTCCGGATCCGTGTTCTACAAAGACAACAATGTAAGATAGGTCATGTAAAATGGGTCACCTTTTTTAAATTTGTAGAAGTGTGCAAACATCCTAGGAAGGACTCCAATATCAATCACATTTTGATATGAGAAATAAATATAATTTAATTCAATTAACCCTATTGTGAAAAAGTCGGCGGCCTCGGTGGGATTCGAAACCACGCTAGCATGGGGAAGGTGCTAGCATAGCCAGCGCTTTAGCCAACTGGGTTACGAGGCCCCCACTAGGAGCCGTGAGTTTAATCACACTTGGGTTGTTTTACCCAACCAGTCTACTACAATGGATGGAATCTACCAATTCTGATAAAGTAAGCTGACTGCCCAAACAGGATTTTCTAAGCAATCAGTCCAGAATCCACCAGATTACTACGAGACTAATTCAATTATTAGGATGGGTTTGGCAGATTTCAATAATTCGGCGGCCTTGGTGATTAAATTCATGGCTGTGATGGGGCCTCTATAATTCAGTTGGCTAGAGCACCGGCTGCACCCAGGCCTTCCATTGTTGTCGTAGGTTGAAATTCCACTGAGGCCGCCGAATTTTTCACAATTGGGTCAATTAAATTATTCAAATTTACTAAACCCTTCCTAATAATATGATTTACTGGAGCCTGAACTATTCGGTCATCCACTTCGTCAGGGATATTCTGTCACTGTTCCTCTCTTTATTTAAAACCTTTGCTGAACTCCTACACAATACCTTGACCATCGAAGTATTTGTGTATGCAACCAACAGCAAAAAATGACAAAACTGAGCAAAAACGTTTTTCGAAGTTAGTTACCGAACCATTCAACTGTAAACAGAATAAAAAACGAAGAGAAGACCACCCACATAGGGCAAAATATGAGTGAAAACAACAATAACAAATCAATAAGCAAACAGGAAACAGAGGTGATGCTGGTCTTTTTAAAAAAGTAAATTATATACAACATACGTGAGAACGTTCCGGCTTAGATGATCCACCAATACTTCTTCTTGCTGTCTGATAGGCAAGCATGCCGAAAGTTATCAGGACCCATGCAAAGAGCAGCCCATAAACCGTAGACATACCGCCTGCATCTCCCTGTCTGAGTTCGTTCATATCGTTGGTGCAAGATACATCTGAACAGTAGGCCTGTGATTGGCGCAGCATGTTCAGCAATC